CGCACACACACGCACGCACACACACACACGCACAATGGTATTCTCGCTAAACTATTACGTAACAACTCCTCATCAATGAGTTGGCTACAATGGTGCACCACACACATGTGAAACAAGGCACATGTGAAGGACCACGACACTCCGCACAGTTGGAGCGGTTAAACACGGACCCACACTGTAAACAAAACTAAACAAATGCTGCAGTAATTCAGTACAATAGTTACGCTGCACGCGCGTTTCGCCAAGCTAACTCGCTAAACGAAACGATTTAAGTGCGTCAAAACAATTTAAGAGATGCTCGTTGTGCGTCTCGCACAGTTAAGTCCGAACAACATTTAGGAGCGCCGCGTTAATACATTCAAACACCACTGCTAGCAAACTCTGCCTACTTCACTGATGTTTCATGTTAGCATAGCATTGCTAGCACGGAGCTGACYTTCCCCCCCAGCCTGTTAAGRCGCCCGTGAAAACTGACAAGTATTTGAAAGGAGGTCGTGCAGTTAGTGGGCTTAGCCAAGTAAATACCTATTTATTATTCTGAAATGGCTTAAAAACATCCATTCAAGCAACTGTCACCGACATACAATAAAGGTAAACAGACCTGCTTTGGCTGGAATAACAGAGTTTCAAAATGGCTACCTAGCAGCAGCAGCACACATTTATCAGTTTGCTAAGTGCTAGCGAGCTAACTTGCAGTGTTTATGACGATAGTGCGTACCTTCTTCAGAATGAGTCCGTTCCAAACAGAGAAGAATTGAGTAATGTATCGAATCCGCATACGCGAGCTAGATTACTCCTTTTCGTAACTCTAAACTTCTTCGACAACAGGACGTCTGTTTGTTTGGGTTTTAGGTGCGCTTACCACTGGCGCTGGCACTAAGGGATTCCAACAGCCTCAAACCGTGCTGCGTTCAAGAGCCGTGGTTATTATGTAACTTCGTATGGTTCAAACCTGTTCTTCGCTTATTTCTCTGGTGGCTGTGGCGCTTAAAATATACGTTATGATAATAAATAAGAATAAGCATGTGAGTATTATTATAAAGTGATATTTTGAAATGTTTTCAAAGCTTAGTTTAGGTAATCTTGAACGTAATGAATTGCTTTGAACGCAGCTCCGTACGTCAGTTTACGTAAAAGGCGTACTAGCGGATGTCAGATACCGAAAAGACAGGCATTTAATCGAGCAAAGATAAAATGGCAGCGTTAAAACGACCTCTAGTTTAGCTAGTCATTTGTTACTGTTGATTGTATTTTGTCGCGCCTGAAATTTTTTCTAAACCACAAAAGTAATTAAAGGCTGTCTTTTAGGTAAATGGAACAACTATTATTTGGTTGTTACGTATCATGACACGTTGAATGCTAGCTAGATGCTAACTTGTGCGTCTTTTTTGTTTTGATTTTAGGTAAAAATGATAAGATTTTCACCTGGAAGGATGAAAATGTCTGGGGTAAGATAACACAGCTTTTATACGGATATAATGTAAATGTGTTTTGTGTAGAAAAGCATATTTTTCCTGTGTGTACTTGTTATTTACCTTTTTTAGGACTGTCACTGTTTCAGGTATACATACCAGTAGTTCTTATGGAGACCAAAGACCAGTCCTAATATGGTTGAACTCCATTTTTGGGTTGGTGGTTATGTTAAGGACTAAGGTGAATTGAGTTTAGGGTAATGTATATGTATTGAGTTCCAGGTTAGACTATAGAAAGCAATGGAAGACAATGAACGGTCCTAATAAGGATAGAAATACAAACTGTGGTGAGTGAATATACAAACTGTGATTTCTCTGCTTGTGTGTGATTACTCTGGTTTTCAGGTTCCAGTGTGGCGATGTTTCCAGCAGAAAATCAGGACACCTTCGTACCCGTCGACAAACATTACGTACCTTCCCCGGCTGCGGTTTCCTTCTCAGTCCTCCCTCGTGTTTGTGCCACACGGACCAGCTTCCTCCACCAGGCTGCTGAGGGTCCAGTCTGTAAGCTGGGTGGCCTCACGTCTCTGCCATGGGGATCCACAAGACGTCTCACAAAAACAAGGCGGCGGAAAAGAAAGGTTGAGCATGAAGGCACTAATCAAGGCACCCAAACCGGCACTGTACCTCGGCCTTTCAGGGCTCATCCCCTTCCTGTCCGCCCCCCTCCTGATGGCYGCCTCACAGTCTTTCTATCCCGAAGTGGCGTTTGCTCAGATGTTGTATGGAGCCTCTGTAGTATCCTTCTTAGGAGGTGCCCGTTGGGGGTTTGCCATCCCTGCTGGAAGTCCCGCCGAACCAAACTGGATGAACCTGGGTAACAGCGTGGTGCTGCCGCTTCTGGCCTGGTTAGCGCTGCTCTGCAGGGACAACATCACTGAGGGGGTCCTGGTGGTCATCATGGGTCTGGGTCTGTCTCTGCATTATGACTTGATCTTGCTGCCTGGCTACCCTGCCTGGTTCAAAGCCCTGAGAACTCTCCTCACACTGGTGGCTACCTTCTCACTGGTGGCCACACTAGCACTAAAGAAAGTATACCCTGAGAAAAAAATTAAAAACAACTGACTTTGTAAAACAAACTATATGGTGRTAATAAAAACAAGTTTTTTTTAGTAAAATCATACAGGAAGTTTTTGTGTCTCACGAGTTATAGAATTTATTGTTACATAACGTATGTTGATGACAAGTAATATTAAAGGGGGAAAAGAGCAAAAAGAGAAACCAAGATCTTCAACAGGTTAAATGTTTAAAAGCAGTGTTGTATTAAGTACCTCAAAGTGATACTTGAGTAAAAGTACAAGTATCATTATAAAAATACTTTGGATAAAAGTTAAAGTCTTCTATAAAAATATTACTTGAGCAAAAGTCTTAAAGTATCTGATATTTTTTGAACTTAAGTATCAAAAGTAAATATCTGACAAAATCTACTTAAGTTTTAAAAGTAAAAGTATTGAGTAAAAGTGAGCTGGTAGATTTTCCTAAATTAAATTTATCGGGAGTTGACTTCTCCAAAAAACATTTTTTCTAATGGTGTGCAGCTGTGATGGGTTGTGTACAAAGTAATATGTTGTCACGTTGGTATTTATACTTCTCATCCAACCATAATTAAATTCACTCTTTCCAGGAGACACAATTTATCAAGATAGTATTTATTTTAAATAATAACTCGGAATAAAATAGGAGTAACAACTTTCTACTTCTTGTCTTTTTAAAAACTGTAAGGAGTAGAAAGTACAGATAATTGTGTAAAAATGTAATGAGTAAAAGTAAAAAGTATGCTGAAAAATAATTACTCAAGTAAAGTATAGATAACCAAAATTTCTACTTAAGTACAGTAACAAAGTATTTGTACTTACTTACTTTACAACGCTGTTTAAAAGTTTTTCTGGTAGAAAGACTGAAAATGATGTGAACCAGGAAGTTGAAGCAGAAGCGGGGTCCAGCTCCCCTGCTGGCTGGTTCTATTCATGTAATATGGTGTGATTTCAACTGGCAAACCTGAAAAAAAATGTGTGAAATTAATTAGTGATGAGAACAGGGAAAAGGTGGAAGAGAGGTGGAGCTACACAAAATCAGCCGTAACAAGGTAGGGTCCAAGTGTAAGTTACAAAGAAATGTGGTCATAAAACYTCCAGGATGTCAAGAACTTAGTGTCCACTGTCCGGAAAACAGGAAGTGAGGTAAAGAGGTGAAGAAGAGTCCAAGCAGGATGGAGATGGATAAAAGCTTCAGGAGTGATATGTGACAAAAGAGTGGCAGCAAAGGTCAAAGGAAAGGTTTACAAGGTCCTCATTCAGACCAGCTGTGTTGTAAGGTTTGAAGAAAGAGACAAGGATGGAAAGACAGGAGACAGAACTGGAAGTGTCAGAGATGAAGATGTTGAGGTTC